CAGCAGCACAAAATTGAAAGTTGTAATACATATGTAAGGAGCAGTAGACAGAAAAATTTTTGTTGAAAAGGTGTAAATATCTTCTGCTCGTTTAAATTGCGCATTCTTATCATTTTCCCTAATCTTCAATGCGACAATTTTTCCAGCTCAGCAATCTTCTCAGATGTACAACTAAAAGTTTATTAAGACTGGCCAGCTTTACAGAGCGTCAGAAAACACAATACACTTGTAGCTTGACCAACTAACCAAGTGTACAAAAAATTAGTATAAGTACATAGCACGTGTGCCTGAAAACATAATCATGACATTAATATATTATTTAGGGAAATAATCATCATTGTCCTCATTTACTTTATTTTCTTTTGTTCTATTTTATTTTATTTTGTTTCGTTTTATTTTTCTTTTGTTTTGTTTCGTGTTTTGTTATTTTAAGTTTTTTTTAATTTTATTTTATTTGATTTTGTTTTCATTTATTTTATTTTATTTATTTTTTATTTTTTACTTTATTTTGCTTTATTTTACTTTATTTCGTTTTATTTATTTTTTTTATTTCATTTGATTTTGTTTGAGTTCATTTTTTTATTTTATATTACATTAATTTATTTTATTTTATTTCGTCTTTTTTTACTTTATTTTATTTTTTCATTTTATTTTTCTTTGCTTCACTATATTTGATTTCATTTTATTTGATTTTATTTTATTTTATTTTATTTTATTTTATTTTATTTTATTTTATTTTATTTTATTTTATTTTATTTTATTTTATTTTATTTTCCATTCTATTAACAGCGTTTTAAGTTTTGTAATTGTTTGGGTGTTCAAATGAGGTAGAACAAAGGGTGAGACCAATGTTGCGCCCTGCGATTGAGCAAAAAATATTAGAAAAGAAAAGCGAACAAAAGATTAAATAAAAATAAAAGAAAATCAATTTTTTTTTCGCTGCTAAACTTTCCTGCTTTTGTAAAAAATTCTATTGTAAAAATTTTATTCCCTTTTTTTTGTAGTTCAATTTTCTTAGTTTCCTTTCACATTATTCGACTTGCGTTTACTCACTTTTTACCTGCTCGCTGTCGTAAATATGACATAAATAATGAAAATCTGATTTCCAGTTTAACTTCCAACTTCCAACTACAGTCCGTTAGATATGTAAACTTTATATATGAGTATTTGCGCGTTTATGTTGGCATACAAACAGTTGCTTACATTCCATAAGCAACTCTTCTGCTCCTCACTTACCTCTTATTTACTTAAAGAGTACTTTCTTGTTGCCTTCAGCAACTACGTGTACATCGCAACTCATTTGCGAAGTCATATGTCTTGGATTTGCTTTCCACTTCTTTCACCGCTTCTTTTATTTACCAACTCTGTTTTGCTTTACGTAGATACTATACACACATACCTGAGATTTACTTAACGGTAGTTTACTTAATTCTGTTGCGACTTTTCCGTCGATTGCGTTTCCGTGAATTATGCCAAGTTTTGTTGAGATTTCCTTTGTAGTTTGCGATCATTTTTTTTTTTTCGATATTTTTTCTCTGTAGGTTTTTTGGGCTAACTTTGCTTTGCATTTTATCGCTATATTTTTTTTTAGTTTTTTTTATAGTTTTTGCATATTTTCCACTCTCTTAATTTTGATTGTTTCATTTTTCTTTGGCAAACTTTGTCTTCAGCTAGGTTTTGTGGTCTTTCTTACAAATCAGAAGAAGGAAAATTACCAAAAGTCATGTCTTTGTAGAGGCAATAGTTTATGTTCTGCCATAATTTTTGTGTATCTGACAATCAAGTTGACAAATGAGCACAGAAAGAGTGATCAAATCTTGGAAAGTGTACTCAAAAAGTGCACAAAACTTTTGCTCGGCATTACTTTAAGATTTGCCGATAAAAGAAACCTAGTACATACACATATCATTTTTAATACTTACTATAGATTATTAAAGAATCTTAGGATATTCAATAAGTCAAAACTAGTTCTCCCTGTGTTCCTTCCTCCTTCATTATAAGTCCTTATAACCAATTATATAATGAAATGAAAAATAATTACATCAGATTTATTTTTGCGGAATATTTCGCTCTTCAGATGTCGCCATAGTCAAATCGGTAGTAAAGTTTTTTAACATTAATATTAAAGAAATAATATTTAATTCACCATAATAAAGAAATTTGGCCTAAAAACATAGTTGAATTAGTGAGCTTGGTGAGCCTTTTCACTATTGCCAGTAACGAAGCTTTATACAAATCCTGTTCAGATAGGCTTCGTAATGGTAAGGAAAAACTGCCGTGGTGGAACCCACATACTCAACACCATAGAAAAAAGCTGCAAAACAGCGCCTTCACGACAGCAACTGCTTCTCAATTGGAGATTTTGGTCTAGGGAAACTTTTACAGAGAAGTGGAAGAGCTCGTCGGAGGAGAGTTGGTTCATTAAAGTACTCTGAAGTGCTCATCAATCTACGTGCCGGGAGGAAACTCTTGTTTTTCTCATAACTACCCAATTGTCTGATGCATTTATAAGCAAAGAGAGAAATCAAAGCAACCATAAAATATAGAAGAATCCAAGAACAGATGTAAATGCTATTACAAAAGTCTCTTAAACGTTAGCTAGTAGCGTAGTATATTAGTATTAGCATTAGGTGTAGAGGTGCTCTAGTATGTCAGCAGTGGAACACTACGAGGCGGAGTACTTTCGCTGCTTCTATGGACCAAAAGAGATGAGTCATAGCTTAAGTGGATGATCTGGCAACTATAATTCAGAACAAAGTGTGCTAATGACGCTGATTTAGGCATTAACACACATAAGACCGAGCTGATTATTTTCACCCAGAAACATAAGACTTCAAATATTTCAACTACAGGTCATTAATGTTCTCTTTGTTACTTACAGAAGGTGTCTGAATGGAAAATGACAAAGCGCGATCATAACTAAGAAGGATCCATCTAACAGAATGGACGGACTACCGCATAACGTCCACTAACTTTACAAATGCCTATAACGTGGTTATGCTGAATAAGCACCAATGGTATATGGTTGGTTGTTCCAGCATATGTTAACTCCGTTTCACTTTTATACGGATGAGTCGACGCCAGACAACAGTTTCAGTAGTGAAATCTGCACAAACGCAAAAGGCACCAGTACAAAAAGTAATGGTACACTCAGAAAATGATATATATAATACTCGGATGGCCAGACAAAGCGCTGGGATCATGTAGGTATATATGATCCCTGAAGGGGTGCCTGTACAGAGTAACATTCAAGGCAACTATATGAAGGACGAGCTCGCAAGGACGATCACTTTGCTTACACTATCGCCAAACATAGAGAAGACATACACACTTCTCTGCAACTGTAAGCTCACTATAAGAGCGGTGTTCATCACAGATGCTAACCTAAAAAGGACAAAACGAAATCGCTGCTATGCGACTAGGGTAATGTGTTCGAGATGGAATAAAAAATGGTTGAAAGAGTTTCTTTCGCTATAAAGTTATACTATATACATATGTATCATGATGGGTGCATCAGCTACGAGGTAGACACATACAGAGCCAGATCGTAACTTCAAGCGACTTCTGTAAGAATTGTAGAGAGGGGGTAAAAAAGATGAAACCTTGAGCTTTCATCCCACGGTTACGTTTCAGAACTTGCATTAAGTTTATCCGTCTGTTTATAAACCACTTAATAAATAAATCCAATTTGTAAGAAAGCTTGAATGAAATTCAGAATCTCCTACCAGTTGCATAAACTCCGATGAAAGTCATAGAGAACGGAAGTAGGAATTCTTCTGCATCCACCAACACCGCAACTTGCTCACCACTACAGTAATTTGAGTCGGCGCTGCCTTAATAAAAATAAAAATAATATTAATAATAAAAGTAAAAAATTTTACCGCTACAAGGCTTTCTCAAAAAAGTATTTGCTACCACCTCAGCTACCTCGTCATATTTGTACCCCTCGGTCGTAGTTGAATAGTTGAAGAGGAGTTGTAAAACTGATAAAGTCGACTTATATAAGTCGGTACAGCAGTGTAGCAGCGAGGCTACACCCGGACACAGAAATGAGTCAAAAGGCAACCAGAAACTTATTTGTAAGTATGAATAAATGTGGATGAAAGTGAATTAGACCGCCCGGTAAGGTGAAGAAGGTGAAAAAGCGCAGAATTGTATAAAAGTCATCACAAAAGAGAGAAACGAAAAAGTAATAATGCAATGAAAATGTGAATGAAAATTTTGTAGGGAAAACTTTTGCGCTTTTCACAAAAATTCCACGACATGAAATAAACTCAATTTTTCACTCGCCCAACAACAACACGCCGCCGACGCAGAGGTCAGCGTGCATTGAATGTGAAAGTTTTTCATACACTTACATGCCGTATACTGTGTGTAGTTATGCATATAGGTATGTATGTATGTATGTAAACATGTGAATGTATACGTAGGTGTCTTGTAGAGCCAGTTTTTGGGGTAATGCGATTTATATGAGCGCATTTGCAGAAATTCCACAACTTTTCCGCCACTGAATTGTATTAAATAAATGTAGTGAATTTTATACTCGCAAATACATATATATGTACATATACACATACATACAAATATGCACTTGTAAATAAATAAAATTAATAATAAAAGTTAACAACAAAATTGTTGGGGATCACCAACGTCATTTTTGCTCAAGAAAATCGGGTTTACTTAAGGTTGGCTGAGAGAGGGGGATAGAGGGAGAGACGTAGAGACTTTGTGTGTGTGTGTATGTGTGAGACCCTAAGGAGGCAACCGAAAATAGTTGTTTTGCTAGTAGCCGCAAGCAAGCGTACTGCCTACGGGCGAAAAGTTGCCAGCATCTCTTGATGGTCATTTAAATTGCCCGCCGCACAAGTGTATTGCACAACAATAACAACAACAACACTAGTTAATAACAACAATTTCTTAAACTTTATTACACTTTCTCCTCTACTCAAGCATTAATTTATATTTATTTATTTATATATATATTTATATATACGTATATATATATGAGTTTATTTGCACTCAATGTATCTGCCATTATCCTTCAGTCATTTTATTTCTCTGCTTACTTTCATATTTATGTATTCATTCGCTGCTATCCACCAGCCACAAGCAGATTTTTGACGAAATACTCAAGTGCGGCAAAGTTTCTCTAGGCGATTCATAGCAGGAAGTTTATTTATTATGAATTTAATTTAGCAAACGAGCGTACGAACGGCAAAGGATATGCTGGCCACAAGACTCACACAAATGATGGAGGAGAAAAATATTATACATATAAACGTATAAAGAATGCGCTGCAAGTGGAAGTGATATAAAAAAGAGTACTCGTTATTACTGCTCAGTTCATTGTATGATTGAGTGCATAAATTAGTGAAAATACGAAAAGTTGCTTTTGTGTGTTTGGATGGGTTGATATTCTTGGCCTAAGGTAACAAGTTTTCTCTGGTCTATGGCGCGTCTTCAAATCCAAATTTTTGCCTTAAAACCTTGTGAAAATGTGAAATTTTATAAAATTTAAGTCTGCTTAATCGTTTTTCTCATAATACTGAACGAGGAAATCAAATTTGAGTGTGATTGAGAGCAAGAAGCTGTACAAAATTTCCAACCCATATTTAGCTAAAAAAAACTATTTTTAAGAATTTGGCAACAGTGGCAAAGACTTTTGAATGGAAATAATCGCATACACAGCAGCACCTAAACACGTTTAGACTTGTTACCGTTATGCTGGAAGTCAACAGAGTTGCAAAAACGAGCAAACTTATTAAAATTAATGTCAAAATAAAAATTTTAAAAAGTCCAAAGTAAAAATATGTTTTTGGCAGTGTTGCCAGTGTTATTAATATTATTTATTAAATTTTTATTCTTCTTCTTCTTTCTAGGAAAAATAAAAGTAAACGCGTTTTCATTAAGTATATTATTTAATTATTATTTTTAGCAAAATTTAACAAATCAAGCTTCAAAATTGTAGAAAATTTACGATTTATAAGTATAAAAATATTATTTTCGAGCGTTACCAACTGTTCAAAAAATTTTGAAGCATTAAATTTAAAAAAAAAAAAAAAAATTTGTTGAATGCAAATGCAAAGCCTTTAAAAACAACTAAAGTTGAAAATAAATATTTAGTGCTGCCACCTTACTCGGTGGGCTCATACTATAAAGTTGATAATAAAATTGAAAAAAAAAAAAACAATCTTTTAAAGTGGTTTTGCAATGAATTTAAGTGAAGAATATTTCTGAAAAAGCATATTTATTTTTAAAAAGGTGCCACCTTTTCAAAATCAATTATAATTATTAAAAAAAAAATTGCATGCTAATTTATATTTTTGTAAGAAAAAGTGCTTAAAAATTTAAATTTCTGTGCTCAAAAAAAGTTGTGTGAGGTGTTGCCACTTTTTTATTTAATTGTTAAATAAATTAAGTTGGTAATGCAAATCTAACAATGAAATGTGCTGTTTAAATAGAGACTTTATGGGGACTGCTAAAAGAAAATATGGTTACCTATTGTTGCCACCTGCTTAAAAGTCCATTTAACAAAATTAGCAAAATAAAAGAAAAACAATCGAATGAGTGTTTATTGTGTTTGTCAAACTTGATACTTTAAAATATTTCTTATTTAAAGAAAAATGTTTGGGAAAAGTTGCCACCTGTTTAACATATTTTCTATTGAATTAAACTTAAAATATAAATAAAATATTTAAATATAAATAATTTCCTTTTAGTTAAGTTTATATAATATTAAAGAAACTGATTGGGGAAAAATATTTTTGGCAAGCGTTGCCAATTGTTTAAAGTTATCATCTAATAGAATCAAAAAAGGAGATGAAATCTTTTAACTATTGAACAATGGAATTTTTACTTACTTTTAATTATAATTTGAAATATGTATAAAAGATTCCCTGCCATAAAGTGTCTTTGAGCAGGGTAGCCATCTGTTTAAAATATTTACCTGAAAAATAAATAAAATGAAAAATATTATTAAATACATTTTTGAAATGCATATGTACGTATGAAATTATTTTCATATTATTAAATATTTTTTTGTTAACATAACTTTGTGAGCAGAGTTGCCAATTGTTAAAAAACTTAATTCAAAATCATGTGATAACTATATAATATTATAATATAATTGAAATATTTCAATTTGAATATTAAAACAAATAAACACACAAAATGTTTTTGTGAATAGTTGCCATCTGGTTGAAAATTGAGTCTTAACACAGCGAGAATTGAAGAGAAAAACTATACTCGTATACAGACAAAAATAGAAAACGGTCAAGATACGTGCTCATAAAATGCTTCAGAAGCTGGTTTTAAGTCCGCAGCATATACATGTAGGCCCCAAGAAAGTTATCTGATGAAAGATGTCCTGGGAAAATGAGAAAAGAACCGAAGCATCTTATTTGTACACTGCTTTAAACAACGTTTGAAGGTATTGCGGTGTCTGAGCCAATCAATGGTGGTACCCTCACCAGCGGCGGAGCAGCGAGCGAGCTTACCGTTACTTTCATTTCCTACTACGTGTAATCTGGGGCCCAATGCCGAGAGTAGTACTCTTACTGTACTCTTAGCACCTGATATAAGGGTTCGTTGGCTGCTCCCAAAGGCTTATAAAGTTAAAAGACATTCTATTGCATTTTTACGTCCAGAAATTAGTAGGAATATTTTCCAGCTCACAGTAATCTCGAATATAAAGTTTCGAGGCCTTTCTGTTACGCTGAGCTAACCTATTTATGTTAACTTGCTGGAAATTATTCCGACTAATTTATGCCAGCAAATGAATTATTCCACAGTAATCGATTTGACAATAAAAAAATTAAATAGTTTTATCTTATACTTTGGTCACTTCCAAAATAAATGCTGAAAGATTTTTTTTTTTTTTCATATAAAAAATTTTGATATCGCCGATCTTGATTTGGTAGTTCAAAGGCTTGAGAGGCAAGAATTCCTTTAAATCCTTAAACTTTTCACTTTTATTTTAACAATATCTTCAATTTGCTTACCTCATCTTTATTAAAACCAACTACTCGGCTGTATACTAATTTTGGCTTAACATGAATTTACGTGCTCATATTCAGATCACAAAAACTAGGCCAAACATTTAAGTCTGAATACAAGCATCTTTTTAATACAAGCAAACACTCTAACCAAAAGGAAGAAGCAGCAGCTGCAGCAGCATTAAAATTGCGGAAGACAAAACTTGGCGAATTAAGCGCCACTCAGCTGCTTGTAGGAGTTTGTGAGTGCTTAAGTGACACAAATTACAGTGAAAGTGAGACACTCTAAGACGCGAGAATCATATCAACACAAACAGTAGAAGCGCAAACAAATATATATGGGCTAGTACTAATGTTGTGTAAGTGTGTGTGTGCGTGAGGTGCAAAATAATGTCAGAAATTTAATGCTTAAAGCGACCTAAAGTACAAGAGTTAGATAAAAGCCAAATGCTTAAGTGTTCGGCTGTGCGTGCGTACATATGTATGGGTAAGAAATTTGAAAAAGTAGGACAAGAAAACTTTTAAACGAGCTTTTCTATCTGTTTTTACGCGATTTTACGCAAATGATAAACGTTCAAAAGAAGCTGCTGCTGAACGGAAGTGAATAGAAGAAAATTAGAGCAACGACAAGCACTTTCGAGGAAAAGTAAAACGTGGTGCGCCTTAAGGTAGACCACATTTTAGTAAGTTAAATATCTAAAGATAAAAGCAAAGAAAAAAATTTGCACACAACAGGGTTGAGGAGTGAAAGTGAAAAGAAAACGGAAAGCATTATTTTTCATTTACGAATTTGTATCTTATAAATAAAAGCGCCCAAAAGCAGGCAATGCATTTTATTTAGTGCTGTAATATTCGCTTTTTTATGCACTTAAATATGCAGAAATTATAAAAAAGCTTAAAAATATTTAGTAAAAACTAAGCAAAAATAAAAACATATAATATAAAATAAATATGAAAAAATTATGATAATATTTCTATTAAGTTTATGCTGAGAGAGGAAAAAAATAGTAGTAAAAAATTACTTTCTTCATTTCAAATCGCCTGAACTTATGCAAATAACTGTAATTGTTTTTACGAAAAAATTTTATAAGTTCCGAAAAAGCGCAAGTGTGCACATTTAAGTGTATTAAAATACCAGCCATATACCTAAAAGTATTCAAAAAATACCGCTAACTATTAAACAAATATACAAAAGAGTATAAAAACTCGCCTACAACTATACATATAATATTTGTGCGGCTTTTAGGACAACAGTTATGTATGCAGCATGCAACATCAGGCAACTTTATGCAAGGCGCTTATCATTGCTGAGCTGTGAAAAAACGACTAAAATAAAAACATAAATTGATGACTAACCAACAATGCGGCAGATAAGCTTGAAGGATCGATAAAACATATGCAAAAGTGGAAAACAGCGAAAAAACCAAAATGGCTGAACTAAAAACCGACCACACACAACCATACGTGGCGCTGCATGCCGCAACAAGATAGCAGCCTCACAGGTCGGGCAAAAAATTTACAAATTAAAATATGTAAATATGTGGACGCATGTGAAAACATGTATGTATGTGGCAAGAAACCAATGGTTGAACTGTAAAACATAATCGGTTAAATGGCGTTTTCTACCACTTGCCACTTGTCACTTGCCACATGCAACATTTGACTCGCTGCTTGGCAAACGGTTGTTTGCATGCTGTTTTTATAGTCAAACCCTACTGTGGCCGTCCTAACGCCGTAGCCAGTATAAGAATAAGAAAAAATGTATAGAAAAATTGAAAAATATAAAATGAAATGAAAAAAAGTAAAACAAAATAAACTAAAAAATTATGTAAAATTATTATAAGTAGAACCCATTAAACAAAATAATAAAATAAAGCAAATGAAAATAATAAAAAAGAATAAATTAACTAAAATAAAACTATATAAAAAAAATAAAATAAAATTAAATAAATTAAATATAAAAAAAAACTAAAATATAAAAAAAAATTAATTAAAATACGCTAGATTAAAATAAAATAAAAATAAATAAAATGTAATATATTTAGTATATAAAATGTAATAAAAAAAATAATATTTAGTAAAACAACGTTAAAAAGATGAAATAAATAAAATAGCATAAAATAACTTAAACTAAAAAAAATGGCGTAAAATAAAAAAGAATAATAAAATAAAAGTAAATGAAATTAAAATAAATAAAATCAATTATTTTAAAATTAACTTTAATAAATAAAAATTTAAAAATATCAAATAAAGAAAAATATAACAAAGTGATACAAAATTAAATCAGTAATGAAAAAAAA